CTCCCCCCCCACCCAGTTTCTCCACCTCTGATGAGCGGTCAGTTCACTTTGGTGAGTACTTCATCAGCAAACATGTTGATCGACATAATCTACAGAGGACTCAACCTCACTTTTATTTTCTGTAATTTCTTTTTCAGATGGCTGGTAATGGAGTCTACCTGTCGACTGGTTCAATAAGCTCTGATGCTTTTGGAAAGAGGATGCGGGTTAGAAATAATGTGATGGTTGGCAATCAGAGCACTGGAATAGATGAGCTGATGCTTTTCAATGAGGTATTGAGCAAAACCTCTGGCTCTCTTTTGTTATATAACATGTTGCTACTAAATCACAAACAACATACTGTAAATATATATATATATCATTACAATATATATATATGTGTGTGTGTGTACTAGGTGTGTGTGTGTGTGTGTGTACTAGAGTTGGCCCGCCACAATACAGCCTCTATATACTGACAGGATTTGTAGTATTAGCGGTGTATGCTCTATGTTATAGCACATACCTTCCACTGTGAAGGTTCCACTGTATTGTAAAATAGTGAGCTGTTCTGTCTTAATATGGTGGAGCTGGTGGGCCGGAGGAAAAGAGGAAGAAAAGTTCATGGACATAGAGAAGGTTGTGTGAAAGTAGAAAATGGCCATTTTAGTGTCCAGTGAAATACGAACCTGTTTCCTGGGTTGGTTGGGCGGTCGCTTTCCCACTGGTCGGAGCTGTACACCTTTCTTGATTCTTTGCATCATTTCGTCCACAGCCTGCTGCCTTATGTCTGGACCTGGTAACATATGCATGCACATCGTAAGCATTTCCATACATACACAACAAAGGTAAGACATCGAGGTCTAGAGCTGTCATTTTTAATGAGGTGCAATGCATTTCAATGGTCCGATAAAAAAAAAACAAAAAAAAAAAACATTATCAAAACGGGTTTTTAAGTAGTTTACAAGTACGAGGCAATGTTTAATTCAGTAGCAGTGACATTGAAATAATTACACCAGCCCCCTGACATTCACTGACTGTAGTTTAATTTGAAGAAACAGAGCTTTTTTTCCTCTTTATTTTGTCATAAATCAGTTTGCCCTTGTTTGAAACATAATGATCTCTCCGTGTCGGAATCAAAGCAAATACCGTGGCTGGATTGGGGATATTTAAGTACACCAGTTTTTTTTTTCTCACCAGTCAATGGTCAGGTACCCTACCTGACCATGGACTGGTGAGGAAAAAAAAATTTAATAATCCTATTTTCATCTACTTTTTTTTAAAGTTTGCAAATAGGGGAAAAAGGCGACAAAGTAAAATATGGAATAATCATATTTAAATGAATCACACTAGACATTTAGAATGCACGGCTGGTGGAAGTATTTGTTGGACAAATGTCTTTGAAATATCACAAATTGAGAATTTCTGTGACGGCAACACTAAAATATTTTCTTTCCAAAGTCCTCAAAAGGAGACTATTATTCGGGTGTCAGAGCCGAAGATGCCTCGTGCAGTGTCCAATTCACTTCTCAAATATTCATAAACAATTTGAAAAATGTGGGCTGAGTGTAGCCTGTTCAGTCACCACTCATGTCCTAGCCGCTTCTTACAAGTCAAGGCCTCTTCTTTTGTTTGCGCTAATTGGAGAATTTAACACAGTGAACCAAGAGGTCAGATTCGAAGGTTTGCGTTTGAATTTCTCATGTGCCACTTGCTGTTTTTCCTTCAGCGGTGTCGAATATACACTGAAGTGACATTGATTTGCAAAAGAGAAGGTGAAAAATAAAATTGTAAAAGGAGTACTACAAAGAGAGGAAAAAGGAAAAAAAAAAACGATTTAAGACCATTCCTCTGGTATTGAATGACAAGCCGTAAAAGCCGCAGAGAAGAGAATAAAATGAAATAAGATGGACAGGAAAAAAAGGAATGAGCAAAAGATTTAAAACAGAAAATGAAGAAACAAAATAAATACAGCGTACAACTTCTCTGTACACCTAAGGAAACGCAAATTTTCCTTACTAATTTTCATACACTCGCATTTCAATTTTAGAGAAAACTAGCTTTCCCCAATTTTTTTTTTTT